AAGACTCTAGCCAGATACAGAGAACTGAAAGATTCCCGTTAAATCCAACCTGTCACTATCACAACACCTACCTCAACCCTCCCTTGTGTGATTTTTGGACGTCTCTAAAAAGACAAATTCTCAAGCTGCTTTATATGCTGCCAAAAATAGTTTCTAGAAAAGATAGACCACAATTTCTTCACATTTACAGCTGTATTTGTGTTGTGTAGTCTTTTTTCATAAAAAAATAACCAATGATTAACTGAGTAGAGGAACTATGAACTATGAAGAGGCTTTGAGCAACAGGAACAGATATTTACAAGGCTGTCTTTGAATTATTCTTCAACAGCAGGGTTTCAATAGGTTATCCACAGAAGAGGAAAAGAAAAAGAAAAGCCTTCATTACCCAGTGCATAAAGCCTAAACGGAAAAGAGACTGTGGAATGGCTGCCTGTGTCTGATAGGGGAATATACTCAGCTCTGATGCCTTAGGTGTTCTGGCCTGCTGCACTCAGGGCTAGCACTGGACCATACAGATTGCTGCCATTATGGAAAGTGGGTCTGTGCTGGCAAATAGACCTAAGCTCTCGTAAAGAAACATATACTGGTGAATGCCTTAGTCTCATTTGAAGATCAGAATGTGGTTTGCTAGAAAACAAAGCAATAAAAACATTTTTTATGCAGTTGGTTGCTTTGGTTATCCCCTAACAAGTCAACACTACAGGCATTGTTTTCATTGGTATATATGCTGTGGATTCATTGGGAAACAAATGTAAAAGTTAAAATGCATTGTTTGAATGCAAAATCTGCATTTTGTCATCCAAAAGCTACAGTACCACCTATCAGTGTAAGCATACTTGTGTTTACCCTAACAAGGCGAACTATCCTGGCTGTAATTTATGCATGGTTTTCAGCGGTGAGGCAGTGAATCAGTTGGAGGCTCACTAGAGTGAGTCACTGTGGACAAACAAAACACAGCCAATGCATTCTAAATGAGAGGAGACTTCTTAGCTTTAACTTAAACTTCCATTTAACCACTGAAGGATCTCGCATCAGTGTCACGCTGTGAGCAAGTGGAGGTCGGGTCAGATGAGCTCAGTCTCTGCCGTGCGGTATTTGTAATAAAGGTCAGAGACTGGGGAATAATAACAAGCAAGGTTTTTCTTTAAGCGATCCTTTACCTTGTCGGATATTCTGCAGAGCTGTATTTTTCATATTCATTTCATGGAACATTTGATTTGGAACCTCTTTCCTCTCAGGGGCTTTGACAGTGTTCTTTCCTTCAATGCTCTTTTGTCGTCATGAAGGTTGTTTTGTAATGGCACCATTTGGCATTCTGTTGCAGTGTCCTCCAGCACAGCATTTGTCTCTCCTCTTTATCTGCACTTGAATAGCTGACCAATGCTTTTACTTGATCATCTCAGCCCGATTGCAGACAATTTCTTGGTACTGTGTGAACCACGGAGAATTGCAATTAAAAACAGTCTCTATGCACCAAAATTGTCTGTAATTTGTGTTTTAAAATGTTGCCTTTTATGTGCCTTTGAATTAAACTTGGGTCGTGCACTTCTAAGTGTGTATGGACTCAGCCTTGCAGAAAGCTGTAGTTGCACAGGTCGCACAGGTTGCACACTGAAATTGAGTGACAGGGTCTGCCCTCAGTTATGGAACTTTGTCACACATTTCCAATAAAATCTCCATTCTGACTGCCACTGAACAAAATATCAGAATTTATTGAAAGTGGCTTGCATACGCTACATAGCAAAACAGCTTGCTGTACCATGCATTCATTTACCACATTCGGTAAAGAGTGGGAATGGGACAGCAGAAATAGAATTTCCAATGAAGACATAGCAGCCACCCCATTTATAGCAAATGTATGGCATATAAAGCACAATTGGGCTACACTATAATCTCACCCTCTGGGCCAACTCAATGTGAAACATACAAAGCCTCAGATTATACCAACAGTGTTCCAGTATCACTTTATCAGCATACAGTACAGTGTTTAGTGTTGGAGATTTTTCAGAGCTGGAATGTTTTTTTTCTCTCAATAGCACGAAGAACCATTTTGTTATTATTTTATTATATTTTGTGATTTTAATTTAACAAGCATGCAGTTCTTATGTACCCTCCATCCTGGGATTGAACCTCAGTTAAGTGGCTTGGAAAACAAACCCACCCCAGCTCAGTATCACTATAGGAATCATATAAATTCATATTGCATTTAGGATCTTGTGATTTAGGATAAATAACAATCCAGGAAGTTGTTTACCCTGTACTGTATCTTTTTTAATTGCCTAACCTCAACCATATCTTAAGCACAATTTCATTTTCCTTATTTTTATTTATCATAACCACAGCCTTTCCTTTACCTTATCCCTTAATCCCCTTAACTGTAGTTGCCATGCAGAGATATTGCTGAAAGAATGTTGGCACTGAATGTTAAAAACATCAATCTCAGGTTTTGCAAAGATGTCCAATGCAAAAGGTTTTGAGAGAAACGTAATGCCGCCTAAATATCTTTTTTCAACAGTATCTAGTCATAAACACTAATGAATGATTAACTTATTTTTATGGTTTTGTTTAGGCACTTAAAGTTAGGGAAAGATTGTGGTCTTATATTGAAAAATTTAACACTGATTCATGGTACGAGACAGGATGTGTTCACTTTATTAACATTTAACCAAAACCAGAATCCCTCTGTAACTTAAGTGCTTTTGTTGCTTAAACCTGACCCCACACATTACAACCCATGACCTGCATGTGGTATAAAAACATTGCACTTCCTTTACTTGAAAAAATGTTGCCACTGAATATACTTTCGCCTCCAATTCCATTTCCCTCAAAAAGTATATGGCAAAACAATTCAGTTGCATATAAATGTAACAGGAGAGAGGGTTGTTGAATAGAAGACCCACCCAAACCAAAGCTTTCTGCTCAATCAAGGCACTGGTCTCAGAACTGGTGTTGGTTCCCAGTTGATACGCATCCTATTTAGGGTCAAACAAAGAGGACAAATTAATGATTATGTTTCAGTGCAGACACTTGTATCCCCAATGTGACGTATTGTGAGGAAAATCACAATACTCATGTGAATGTAATGTGATAAACTAAACTCAGAAAAAGGTCAAATGACAGCAGGATTGGTCTTTAGGTCCATGATGGCAGGTGGGGTTTCAACTTGAAGTATATTCTTTCTGCCATAAACTGTCACATTTATTCTATTCTAACAGTGATTATCCCTGTTGTGTGGAGCCATGTCCTCCGACACACAAAAGCACCTTCTCACCCCCTGGGTCCCCCCCACAAGGCAATCCATTTTGGCCTGTGTTAGAGGCAGCAGTGGTGAAGTAAAAGACAAGAATAGATTACTACACATATTAAGACCTCTGGGTTGATGTTTTTTTGTTGTTGTTGTGCTTTCATTTTCAGCACATACTGATTAGTACTCCCATTAATTACAAATTAGTGGTTATTAAAAGATAATTTCTAGTACTAACCTTAAATATTTCTGAGGCTGCTCAGTAATCTCTCTGTATCTATTTAAACAAATAGTTTTCTTTGATATACTCCTTTGATTATAATAATTAAATCATAATTGAAAATCCCCCCTTTAGGAAGGGTAGTGTTTACATCTGTCTTCTTACAGTAAAAAAAAAAAAAAAAGTTTTCACTTTTATTTGGAGCTATAATAGATCTGAATTGTCTTAAGAATCACTGAAGATTCCACTAAAGCTGACTTGTAGCAGTCAGTTATTATTATTATTATTATTATTATTATTATTATATTATTGTCAATTGCAGCCTAACAATGACTACACATGCACATACCTGTGCAGCAGGCAGCATGTTTTTTTATTTCCTTGTCAGCAGCATTACAATGACCCTTGACGAATTAATTGCTGTAATGAAGGCTGAAATAATGAGTGATTTGGTAATAAAGGTTGTGCTCTGAATCCATCTACTGAAAGAACTACACTTTACAGCACTATTTAACTTTTGAAAGACAAAATAGCACATTAATTGTTTTAATTAAAAGTTGAACATATAAGCAATAAAACACACTCTTGCTAAGTTCAATACACCCATGGCTTTTACTGCTACGGCCTTAATTGGTCTGGTATGACCTGCAGCTAATGGTGGACATTTATAGGGTGAGACAGCTTAAGATAGGCAGGAAACGGGATGAGAGGGTGGATGACATACAGCAAAGGGCCATGGGTGGAGATATTGCTGTGCAACTGAATTTATGCCAATTGTTAAAGTATATTTTAGTAGCATTTACCATTATCTTGTAATTGTCACTTGTGGTAACAGTGGCTGCTGCTCAGCAAACATGACATACAATGCATTTAAATATGGCTTTAACTGATCTGTAAGATTTCAAAGTACTTGTAAGGATGTCATATGCTGTATTCAGATTTTCTTCGCTGCGGTGGCCTCTACTGCAGTATAGAGAGTAATAGCTGTTGCTGCCATTTGTACTACCATGGCTTGGCTCACTTTGCAAAAGATCTTAATTTAATTTAGGGCAATTCAGTATTCACACCATGTGCACAATTTCCCTCTTTTGGCTTGTAGAATCAGTGCTCAAAAGGATTTTAATTTATGCATGAAGGTTTTTAGAGGAAAATCCTACATACATTGATTCAAAGTGTCATTTCATGTGATGTTGGATAATTGATTTAATGCATCTTCTTAACATTGGCCTTCCTCAGATGTGTCTGACAGTCCTCAGGTTAATGGTGTGAAAACAGGGACCCTGCTTTTTCCAACCTGTCAAGTGGTAATTGGCCAACAGTTTCCTTAAATTGCAGTCTGCCAAAGGGACTGCAAACACCTCTTAAACTGTGTACAAAATAATTAGTGGGGCCTGAACAAGGAGAGCATGCAGTAAACATGGATCCTAGTGCACAATTTCAATACCTACATATGCAATATGTAGTACATACAAAGTACATTTTTTATCCTGACAAAATGTAATTAATGTCAACTATGTTCTTGTCTTTATATTACAGGTTATTCCTTCGTGCACATGCCAGAGACACAGAAAGGAAGACAGTGGCAGAAACAATAAGATGAGACCATTTAATGATGGTAACCTTTAAGGAGAAAAGCACAAGCCAGCCTGAGGTGGTGAAATCTCTTTTAAGCATCACCACAAGTTCACTGCAGGCAAACCTCAATGAAAGAAACTCAGTGTAAGGTCAGATACTCAACATTTTTCTGACTGCTACATGGGGACAACACCATCCATCAATGAAGAGGAGACAAATAAAAGGATTGTTTCTGGTCCCTGAGAACAGTTGAACATCCAGCTAATTATCCAACAGGATTGTCTCAGCTTTACTGAAACCACAGCGGTATCACCTTTCTCTAATTTTTTTGGCCCTGTTCATGACTCTCAGAGAAGCACCAATGGCCTGCAGCTTAGGCATGGTGATGAGTGCCTTGTTTTGGTCTGTAGCCATTGTATATTTTACTCATATTGGCAGAGTCAGTGGAGACTGCTGGTTAATTGAGGGTGAAAAGGGCTTTGTATGGCTTGCAATTTGTAGCCAAAACCAACCACCTTATGAGGCCATCCCACAGCATATCAACAGCACCATTGTGGATCTTCGTCTGAATGAAAACAAAATCAAAAGTATCCATTATTCTGCCCTTAGTCGCTTTGCCAACTTGACCTACCTGAACCTGACAAAGAATGAAATCTCCTACATAGAGGATGGGGCCTTTTCTGCTCAGTTTAACTTACAAGTCCTTCAAATGGGCTTCAACAAGTTGCGGAACCTGACAGAGGGGATCCTCAGGGGTTTAGGAAAGCTTCAGTACCTCTACCTCCAGGCAAACCTGATTGAGACTGTGACACCCAATGCCTTTTGGGAATGCCCCAACATTGAGAACATTGACCTCTCCATGAACCGAATCCAGCAGTTAGACGGGTCCACGTTTACCAGTTTGACTAAACTGACCACCTGTGAGCTGTACACCAACCCTTTCAACTGCTCATGTGAATTACTCGGTTTTGTCAAATGGCTCTCAGTTTTCCCCAACAGGACAAATGAGCGAATGGTCTGTGACTCCCCACCTGGCGTCTCTGGTTATAGTTTATTGAGCCAGAATCCAAACAATCCAACATATCGAAATGCGCTTCACATGCTGACCACTGTGTGTACTGATGACTATGTGACACCATTCATTCCTGTGCCCACTGAGCCCACAACACCCCCACCAGACTCGACACTTTGTGGGCTAGAAGATTGTCCCTCAGGCACAGAGCCAGAAGACATTACCATTAGTACAACATACAATGATGTGGAAGTAAACCCTCTGATGAAACTGAAGGAAGTATCAAATACAGGTGCCACCATCACTGTTCAGATTCCTCATCCTTACAAGAAGATGTACATCCTGGTTCTGTACAACAACAGCTTTTTCACCGATATTCAAAATCTGAAAGATATAAAAGAGGACATTGAACTAAAAAACCTTAAACCCCATACTAACTATACATACTGTGTCGCTTCGATACGTAATTCTCTTAGACACAACCACACTTGTCTGACAATCAATACTGGCCCTTGGAATGGAAAGGATAGAAGTGTAAACAATGCAACTGCTACTCATTACATTATGACAATTTTAGGCTGCCTCTTTAGCATGGTAATTTTTCTGGGTGTGGTTTACTATTGCTTGCGAAGAAAGCGTCAGCAAGATGAAAAGCACAAAAAATCAGGCAGCCTGAAGAAAAATATAATGGAACTCAAATATGGACAAGAACTGGAGGGAGGGACTATTTCTCGAATGTCACAGAAGCAGTTGTTGGCCGGGGAGAGCATGGCACGCATGCCATACTTACAATCTGCAGGTGAAATGGAGCAGTACAAATTTCAAGAGATAAGTGATACTCCTAAAATGATGAAAGGAAATTACATGGAGGTGCGAAGCATGGATCACCATGAACGCAGGGAGTGTGACATGGGAATGCCTGGGAATAGCCAGGGGTCGGTGGCAGAGATTTCCACCATTGCAAAAGAGGTGGATAAAGTAAATCAGATAATTAACAACTGTATAGATGCTTTAAAGTCAGAATCCACCTCTTTTCAAGGGGTGAAATCTGGAGCAGTGTCCACTGCAGAGCCCCAGCTCGTACTAATATCAGAACACCCACAGAGTAAATCTGGCCTTCTGTCCCCAGCGTATAAGGACAGCTACCACCACTCTCTGCAGAGGCATCGGTCCTCTGATGTCTCGCCAAAGAGGCCCAGCACTGCCACAGGAGGGCCCATGCGAAGCCCCAGGCCTTATCGCTCTGAATCCAAGTACATAGAGAAAACCTCCCCAACAGGAGAGACCATCCTCACTGTAACACCTGCTGCTGCCATTCTGAGAGCTGAGGCAGACAAGATCCGTCAGTACAGTGACCACCGGCACTCGTATCCCGATGCTCACATAGAGGAGCTTGAAGGACCCGATGGTCACAAGTCCTCCATGTTGGAGCCTCTTACTCACTCTCGCTCCAGAGACTTAGCATATTCCCAGCTGCCATCTCAGTATCACAATCTAAGCTACTCCTCCAGTCCTGAATACTACTGCAAACCTTCACACAGCATCTGGGAGCGATTCAAACTCCACCGGAAACGGCACAAAGATGACGAGTACATGGCTGCAGGCCATGCACTGCGCAAGAAAGTCCAGTTTGCAAAGGATGAGGACCTGCATGATATTTTAGACTACTGGAAAGGTGTATCAGCCCAACATAAATCATAACCTCTTTAGGTGTTTTTAAAATGGACCACACATTGCAGAAATGACACAAGAACCTCATCTGACAATTGAATCAATGGATACTTCCATATTATAATCAACTACTCACTCACATGTATTACATTCTCTTTTGACTGTGAGGAAAATGGGGTAAAGATTCTTTAAATTTGTCATATTATGTAAAGCATTCATTGGGAAAACTTTTATCTATTAAAGAGAAAATATATTGCAAATTAATAATATATATGTTACAATGGATTATAGGTTTTTGGGTATCGCATGGCCAAGTCCTGTGACAGTGGATTTGCTGTTGTGTAATATGAAACTACTATATGAAGATATGTCTACTGAATCCTCAATATTTTTTTGAGGAACTACCTGGACCCTTCATTCAAAAAGAACTTTGTTTTATTCCCTCCCTGCATATATTTAATTCTACAAAACTATGTACAGATATGGGTTTCTATATTTGCAATGTTTGCTGTGTAAATGGAAAAGTATTAGTGGATAAATCAGGTTTTATGGAGCGCTGTTCATTTAGAATAACTTGTTGCTGAAGAATGGCATGTCCCACTTTAAGCCTGTCAGATCATTTGTCATTTTAACCGTCACCGCCTGTTTTTTTATTCTTTTCTCTGTTAAAGCTTTTACATGCATCTACAAGATACAGATGGATTCAGTTTTAATGTCCCCTTAATTTCACAACGCAGTATTCAATGGATGGACTCTGATAGACTTCATGCAGGCACGATGCAGTGTATTACATGCTGTAATGAAGGTCTCAGTCATCAGTTTCATGAACCGTCATCTATATCTTCAGTACCAAAGTAGAAAAAGCTGAAATGTTTACAATATTTCTGCACGGTCTGGGAATCGTATGAACATAGAGCAGTAGATCTGTTGACATTTTCCTTTTTTTTATTGTATCAGCTACTCCTGCAAAAGTGAAAACATTGGCAAACAATCATATCCATACACAGGATATGGTATTGAAGGTCTACTATTAATCACTAACATTTCAATGGGAAGGCAGCTGTACTTTGTCGCCTGTTGTTTAGGTAGAGGCAGCTGTTCTTCCCTGCAGGAGAGCCCGATGGATGAATGTAACAGATACATATTCTGATCTGTCTATGGCAGCTTTTATGTAAGGAAATATTTATTTAATGCTATTAACGACTGTGTTTTTTTCCTTTGCTTCAATATTTCTTCCAGTGTATTATATTGAATAATGTCTGATCCGATAAATGCAGAAAAGTAGTTTGTTATTCGGATGGGCCTTGTTGCTTGCTGAGAGGTTTCATTTTGTTTTTACCTGCTAGGCTGTTCAATCTTTTTGTATATTATGAAAGCTACGTACCAGACGAATATCAACATGCTAGACTAAAATTTGAGAATGTGAAACTGAATCCTCTGACTTACTGGCTGTGAATTTGTATATCATGAAATTTTTTGAGTAAATATAAGACTTAACGCTTTTTCTTTGTAAGATGTTTATATAACTTATTCCAAATAGGCTCATGATGATTCATTGCATATTTATGAATGAGCAATAAATATGCATTTCAACTCTCCTACTTATTTGAGGAATTCTAATAATGTAACTCTAAATTTATTGTCAATGTAGGATTTGGGTTTATTAAAAAGCAGAGAACAGCTCTCGGAGGTTAAGCAGTTATACCTCGCAGCAGCCATTTCTAGAGATGCAGAAATATTCAAAAATTCTCCACTGCTATATGATCTACATAAAATATAAAAAGATGTGGGAAAACTTTGTGGAAGATTAGTCTCCTCATTGGTCCATACAGATCTCATCACTTCAGGGAAGCAGAAGCTTTAGTAGACACTTAAGTCACATGCTTCATGTACACCATGATTAATTAGTTGAGTCTGGTTCCATTAAACTTTTCCACCTCAGCAGAGTGTAAAAAACTTTTTTTTTTTAAATTTGTGCTGTTTCCACTCAGGTTTTGTAAGTCCAACAGGTGAAAAGAAACACACTTATTGTTGTCCTCAATAAGGGGACACTGCAAACTTCAACTTTGGTCACACTTCATATTCTGCAACCTCAAAAAACAGCAGCCCTTTGAGTGTAAATTAATATTAAACACTTCAGTATCTAAAAAATCATAAAAGAAGGACAGACATACTTAATGTACTGTGTGTTGAGGTAAGGACCAGGGTCTGCAATCTGGCAGCACAGCTGACCTGAGGGAATTCCTTTATCAGGGTACATATTTTTTCATCAACTCCTTTTTTTCTTCCATTTGACATTGAGTATGTAAACATAACTGCAGGCTTTAGTTAGCCCATTTGTATTTTTTCTGTGTCATAACACTGCGTCCATTTCACGTAAGTGTGTCACGACACTGTTATTATTCATTAATGTGAAATGAAGCATTCATGAGCCTGATGTGAATGTGTTATGTAAGCACTTTATAAAGTGTTACTTGGTTGTCTGACTTAATATTTCAACCGCCTTAAGATTTTGGGATATGTGTACAAGTGTAAATTTCCTTTTGTTTTATTTTAATGTTGATACTGTTGACAAGTCTCCATTTGTTGTTATTTTTATAAAAGCATTTCAGTATCTTCTGAGAGCTGTCAGGTTTCTAGTTCATTTAGCTATTTAGCAACATGTTTTTATACTGCATATTGTAGCACTTCTGTGTCTAATAAGAGTTTAAAGTGATGATAAAACCTTTAGAAAGATCAACAGTTGTTGTTCAAGTGCATCAAAACAAACAAGAGCACAAAAATGTGTTTTTTATTTTATTTCTTAATACTATGTTATCTGCTTTCAGACAAAGTACTGTGAAATAAAGTTAAGGGTGCACATACAGTATACACTCAGTATCTTTATTATGACTTTTGGCCAGAATCACTCTAATCTGCCATTGAGCACTTGATCCAGCTAAGTCACATCCGGGCTGCATCGTGGCTGCCAGATACGTTGCACTGCCATTCTAGATGGTGGTGCAATGTCCACTGGCGCCATGACATGAACGTCTCGCTCAATGCTCCTTTCCACACTCTGCTATCTTTATGAGCCAGGTCTACTTCTGCCGGAAGATCCACTGCTTTTGAGACGTTTCCAGTGGACACTGAAACCATGACTGAGCCAAAGCGAAAACGGAACATGACACAGTGGAAAGTGTAAGATGGCATGAGGCTATTCTAAAAGGTCTAGTGTATAACATCTAAGAGGATTTACTGGAAGAAATGGAAGATAATGTTCATATTATATATATGTATATATATATACATATATATTATAAGAAGAAATACACCCTTTGACACAATTAACCAAAAAGTGCCCAAACCTTCCTTGCCATTTTTCATTAATGCACACATTCATGCAGCAAGGTGCTCCAAAATCTAATCAAATCATATACACTATAGATTGAAGTATGAACCCTGTTGTTCTCGAGTAACTGAGATCTATTTTCTGGTGGTCACATCAAGAGTGTGCACATTACCCCAACCATTTGTGATTTTGTGGCTCATCTTGACATGTGCTATAATGTGCCTGGAGTGCATTAAAAATTAGCGTTAAAACAAATCAGGTAAGCTTGCACAGCAGGTGATGGTGCACCAATATAGTCTTCTTCAAAAATCATCTCCTTTCATGTGCGTTACGCCTGCCAGTCTCATTTTGATATAAACTCAAAATTAGCAGACATGTTTCCATGCACACCAAACATGTTTTAATGTGATTAGCGTAATAATGAAAGCAACTGAACAACTGGATTAAGAGCTTATTTTTACAAAACCACCTAGTAGTTTCTGAACCCATGTTGCTGTTTAAGTGTGTAGTTTTATGTAATAATGTGGTGTAGTTTAATGGTGATACTTCCAGTGCTAACACTTTTGACAGTATATGTATTCAGATGTTGAAAACATTAACAGTAATGCAAAGTCTGGGTGTCATCTTCTCAAAATCCAGGAGCAGTAGTGTCTTTTTAAACTCATCATACAGGAAGAAAACGAGCAGAAATACTACAATGTAGCCGCATGTTGCAGGAGCTCTGCCATTGTCATGATTAGTTAGTAGTTACCACTATGAAAGAAGGTAAAAGGCTTCATTTGAAAGCTTTTTTGTGTCCTTACTCCCACCTCTGACTAAAAGCAAAAGCTCAGGACCATTCAAAGAGTCAAAATGAAAATATTAAAGATTCCATGTATGTAGTAAATAGCTGCAGGGGTTACTGATTAGTAGAGGTAAGTAAACAAACTGAGGTACACGTCCAGACTGAATTCAAAATCACAGGAGCAGGCCAAGGCTGTTTTTATGTTGTTTGAAGGTCCAACAGTCTCACTTAGTTCATTTACATTTTCTGTGCTCAACAAACTACTGCCAATTACTGTATATAACATCTGATAATGCTCCCAATAAACAACAACAGTTCTGTACCTGAAGCTAAAAGGAGTCGATCAGCATGCTATCTGCTTCATGTACCGTACACTATACCTGGGAACTGATCATTACTGCTTTCCTAAAAATGCAATGAACTTCAACTATAAAGCAATAACCATATTGCTTTACTTTGCTTGACTCACCTCAGCCATCGATAGCTTGTTTACAGTGCTGCTTTTTCTGCCTTTCTATTGCAATTTGCTTTGCCTGGAGGGAAATGAAGGGGAGAGGCTGTGAAAGGCGTCGTCTTTGATTTGTTGTTGTTACTCACATCACTGAACAACAGAGGTTAGCATGAAGGCAGAAATTACACACAGACTCAACCTGTAACTCCTCACTTAATCTTTGTATGGCAGGAGCAGTGCTGGACCAACGAGGGGTAGAAAAGTTTTACAGCTGTACTCAGAATTTTCCTTGTTGATTATTTTTCAGTTTATGATTTAAATTCTACTACTTTCAGTAATGGACAAAACGCTGAATTCTGTTTGTTGTGATGGATTTTCCAGTGTAAAGTCTCTGCAAGTCAGTTTTTTCTATGGAAACCAATGGCTTACTGGAAGATAATAAAAACACAGGCTGTGTGCAAAATCACTAGTGCAGTACAGTGCAGCATTTACTGTTGTTTATTTCAGTGTCTGAACTCTGATTCTGTAAATATATATATATGTATATATTTAGCTTTTGAACATGCTAACCTTTGCTAAACAAAGCACAGCTGAGGCTGATGGGAATGTAATTACTTTTTGCGAATATTGTGGCCATAAACCAAAGAGTTGAACAAATTTAACAAATGTAAACTGAAAAATGATATGGGATTAGCAAAGGATACATCACCTGGGAACTGTGAATGTCTGTTGAGATATTTTACAACCCTACAAAACTTTGGGCAATCACTGACAGTTGTTGAGACATTACACTCTGTGCTAGGTAAGTCATTGGACCAGGTCAGAAGGATTCATTCACCATGAATCTATTCACAGAATTTCATGGAAATCCATTCAATATTTCTGTCTGGACCAAGAGACAGGCATTTACCATCCCTAGAACCACACTACTAAAAATCTTTATAGTCTGTGTAGGAACAGGGTTATCAGAGATGTTTTGAGCTTCAAATTCATCCAAACTTGGATATATTTTAAAGACAAGACAAGACTTAATTCTACAGCATGAGCGGTGGTCACAGCCTGGTTGGGTGGCATTGCTCTCTCTGTTTGAAAACAACAACTAAGTCAGCACACAGCATGAATCATGAATCATCATCAAAATCAAATTTAAGGAGGGAGTTCTATCATAAAGTTTCAACTCTTCTGACCACACCCAACACTGATGTAGGCTTGTGTTTAAGCATAATTTGGGGATTTCGAATGACCTACTGAGTGCTTATCATGTTGAGAATAATGGATGTGAGAACCAGTGAGTGATTTCAAACACAGCACAGACTGAACTCGGAGCTAGGAACTCCATCAAGTCACAGATGAGAAAACAGGGCACAGTATACTGATCACACAACTGGGGCTTTACCCAAGGGTTTATGTTGATCCTGAACATACAAATATTTTAGGGGACACAGCATAACAGCTAGATAATAATAAGAAAAAAAGGTCAACCTAATCCCCAAACACATTTGTCTATGTTCTTTCTGGGTTTCTTCCCTGGAAGAGCGACATTGTGAAAAGACCAAAGATCCTATTCATGGTCGAGATGGAAAACAAGCCACAAATATTACTTTCATTTCAAGACATTTTTGGAAATCTCCCTTCACTGTAAGAAAGATAGCTTTTTGAACATAAACACCCTGTCTGCCATCCTTTCCGCAAAGTTCACAGATGGAGACCCTGTATCTCTGGACATGGCACACAGAGTGCATTAATCAGCTGTCAGCAGAGCATGACTAAGGCTCCAAGTTGAAAGTATTTGAAGAGAGGAAACACCAAAAGTTCCTCAGCTCTTGTCAAATCCAATGTCTAATTGGACATGGGCGATCAGCTATGAAGGAGAGAGAATCTACAGTGGGCTCTAAATTGAGATCTACACAGAGATCAAAGATCAAATAGCTGGTATAATTAACAGATTGAGCCCTTATAAAGCTGCTTCAAAGGGTGATCAAATGAGCCAATAGACTTTCCAGCATGGATAGTGATCAGCAAGGTCTCAGGAAAATACACCTTGCAAATTAAATACAATTTTAAATGTATATCCACATAAAATATTACTATTATTTTAATATTTAAATGATCTACATTAAACAGTATTTCCCACATGTAGCTAAATGTGTGATGTGCTTACTGCCTCCCAAGAAAGAGCATTATGAATGAATCTTTCATGTTTTCACCAAGGGGCGTTGAAGCTTGTGATCTATGAGCACCTTCGTGATGATGGGCTGAAACTCTTCACTCTTGTTAAAGGAGATTTATGCTGGTGGATGATTCCGATGAGCCAAAAAGACCCAGGACTCGCTCATTAATACTAGGCACAGCAGCAGCAGTGATCGCCAAGCAGAACGAGTGAATGATCCTTCAAATGAGCGCCGTGCCGAAGCAGGTCACAGGGACCACCAGTCAACACTACTGGCAAGGAACAGAAGAAGAACTGCTGAGCACACTCCATGTTGGAGCAGGAGAGACCGAACGGCTCATTACGATATGAAAGTGAGAACAAATCAAAGAGTCTTCACACACTAGAAAATATAAGACGTGTGCCCACACAGGTCACATGACTTTTGTTCTCGGAACTTTTGCTTCTGGCGATAATGAGCCTGCCTGTCTCTTCCCAACATCTTTGGTCCTCTTATTTTTTTCCTGCCACACAAAGACTCCTCTGATCATACCAGAGTACAAACGAGAAGAGGCTGAGCAAAAAAAAAAAAAAAAATCAATGGTTCCATTCTTGAGAAAGATAAAACGCTTTTACGCTTTAATTATTTCCCGCCTTGTAGCTTTATGAATTTGCTTACTACTCAATTCAGAGGTGAGGACTCTCTTACAATAGACTGGATCAGTTCATTTCTTTTCATTAGAGTTGAATTAGCATGTTAATTATTTGTTTCTAATGAAGACTGTGAATCTATTTGGACACAAACATATTCTTTAAAGTATATGGAAAATATATAGAAAGCTTTTCAAACCCAGTGTAGCTGGTAAATCTGTTATTTTTTTTTTGCTTCTAATCAACTTGAAATCAATTAGCAATTAAATTCATTAATTCAACATTTTAACAAAAGATAAATACAGCCAGTGGGAAACATCTGACTTAAAACTCAATCAATAAACAAGTGTAAATATTGTTTTTCTGTTGGTCCATGTATATATATTGAGTGAATTAAACAACATTTTGACATGCCACAATAAGAAAGGCACAAGCATAAACAATGAAATGACATTTAGTTTAGCTTCACTTTCAGGGTCCAGGTATTGTGCATCACTGTC